GAGAGAGAGAGAGAGAGAGAGAGAGAGAGAGAGAGAGAGAGAGAGAGAGAGAGAGAGAGAGAGAGAGAGAGAGAGAGAGAGAGAGAGAGGGGCACAGGTTGGATACTGCGTAGAGGTTGGTACGGCCCAATTCACCCCATCTGTGAACCTTCTGTGACTATTTCTTATTCTTTTTGTTTTTAATTAAATTAATTCCAAATGTCCTGATTTTTCCGGACGTCCCACCATGTCCGGGTACAGGTCCGGCGTAACCATGGTGGAAACCCATGCCAAGTAATTCCCACGCCTCGTTTTGCAGACAGTGGGGCCGCGTAATCGGATTTCCACCAGGCGAAAGTGGTTTCCTGGCACCCTGGTGGGGTCCAGCGAACACCTTCTATCAAGTTCTATGCCAAAACATTTCCAGCCGCCGGCCAGTGGGGTCCAAGCCTTAGTCCAGCAGGGCCTACCACGTATTCTTCTCTTCTTCTTTTTTTTCCCCAAGAAAACGGGTCCAGCCCTCTCCCACTTTGTAATAGATCGTATCTCTTCAGGTACATGTCTGCTACTCAACGGTTATGTAGTGTGTGCCATGCACCCACCAGCCAGGCGCCTGCCACGTAAACAATCTTTTTTTTTTTTTTTTTTCCTTTTTAAAATTTGCACCGTTTCTCGATTTATGCATGTCATCCTTGTGCAGGGGCCATGCTAATTTTCTCTGTATCGTTCCAATTTTAACTTTTAATGGATGTCCCCAAGGACGCCACGTAAACAGTCTTCTCTTAGGAAACCCTCTTTTTTTCCAACCGGTGTCAACCGCTGTTACTACTGTACTATTTTTTTGTTCTTTGTTTTTTAATTATAATCCTTGCTGCAGGGGCTAATCTTCTCTGTATCGTTCCAATTTCGCTTGATGTGAAGTTTGTGAACTATTCTTTTTTCTTTCTTTTTTTAATTAATTTGGACCGTTTCTCGATTTATGCATGTCATACGTGCACAGAGGCCACGGCGCCACGCTAATCTTCTCTCTATCGTTGCAATTTTAACGGATGTCCCGAAGAACTGGATGTGAACGGTTCTGTTTTTTAACTTTTTTCCTTTTTTCCTGATTTCTAACTGTTCTTCTTTGTTGCAATGCTGACTCACTCCTTGGTTTTTCTACGTCAGATTCTCGAAGGCATACTAACACTCGACTTTCCCGACCGACATGTGGGTAATTACGATCAGATAAATACAGCGCAGGCCCCACCATCTTCAGCCAAATAGAACGTATCTGGACTGAAAGTTGCCCCAAATACAGCCATAATGACCATTGGTTTTGTTCAGTGGAAGATGGTAGCATCAGTATGCCAGACCCTCTTTCTCCCCTACTGCTGTCTTTCCTATGCCAGATTTCTAGGCTACCAGAGTGGGCCCGGGACCACTTGCCCGGCCGGGCCAAAAAATATATATATATAATATATATATATCGTCACAAACAGAACTGCCCGGTAAACCGTAGGCAGAGAGAGAGAAGAGGACAACATCGTCACAAACAGAACTGCCCGGTAAACCGTAGGCAGAGAGAGAGGAGGACAACAAACGAGGGGCTGTATATATATATTGTCACATCACTACAAACTAAAAGAGCGCACTTTGCGGAACAAAGAATAAAAGCAAAAAACGGGCACAGTGATAACATGCAAAAATAAAAATAAAAAGAAAAACAAAAAGAAAAAACAAGGGCAGATTGAA